AGGAAAAGCCAGAGGTATTCCAGAAGAACAATGGAAACGTAGAACAATTCTTACAAGTAAGTTTACTTCATTATTATGTACCATATTATTTATAGATATATACGTGATAGCATATTTTATGATTTCAGCACAATATTCTTTTCCATACATTAAAAAACGTATTTTAGTTATTGAAAAACGAATAATGGAACTGAGCCCAATTGAAGTTGCTTTAGATGAAATGCGACAACGTGTCCAAGAATTAGAAGATGTAGCTCTTATAGGACCAACAGACGTGAAAAAATTGCAATTAAGATTACAAGGAAGTATATGTGTTACAGTAAATGCTGGACCACTCGCATACGCTTCCGCATTTTTAGATCCCGCACTGTCTCCACAATATCCAGATGATAAAGTTGAAGAACTAAAAGATGTTTTCAGGTATGTTTTTTAAAAAATATATCTCGCGTATGTACACACACACACACACAAAATCATTGCATTTTCAAAGTATATTACATTTCACACACAAAATTTATTAATTGAAATTATCTGATTTTCAGAGAATTTGTTAAAATATGTTACACAGCTCTGCAAATAAATAGTAAGTTGATTACATCTGATCAGCATGAATATCAAGAAGTGTTACGTGAGAATTATCAGAAACTTTGCCAAAATTTGTCATCATTACTTGGTGAACCTATTTGGCCTGATGAACAAGTTGGAAATTTTAAACGTAACAGCGCTGCTTTATTTAGTGCTATCAGTGGTGCTAGTAATCACACAAGTACAGCTTAAAATAAGAGGTCATTGAAATGAAATTATTTGCAATTAAATTAGCTTTATTTTTAATGCACATTTTGTTATAAGTGAATGATATAAATTGGGTCATATTAACCCATAATTAATTCGCATATGCTAAAAAGTACTTCTGTTACAAGTGATTAATGAATGAATATTGCCACTACGACTGTAAGTAAGACTATTATTGCATATTTACTTAAATTTTTTATTTGTTATAATCAAATTTATTTCTTTTTATAAAATGCGTATATATGTGCTTTATATTATTAATTTCTTTATCATTTATTCAAGTATAAATGGTGAATAATAAGATCTTTTCTGCTCTATTTGATAGAATGGGAAAAATGCTAAAATATTTAGTTTAGGAGATCATTTCATAATAGATGCGTATCTATTATTCTCTTTGATCAATATAAAACTATAAATTATCTCAAGGCCTAATATTACAAAAGGTTCTTAATATCTAATCACTGCCATATTTTCATATATTTATTACATGTTTTGTTTTTTTTAAATAATTACGTCAATTGAAATATTATAGAGGCATGAAGATAAGAAGTAAAAAGAATACTACTGACATTTTTTTATTTCCATAAAAGATTCACTACATTTTTGCTAGTTACAAGATTTATAATCATCTATATTAAAAAAATATATGTTTTCTATATATTACAAATATTACAGATACATTTAAATCTAATTAAATGTAGTATATTTTGGTGTCGAGCACCTAAAGGGGCATTTATACATGCGTATATATTCTGCAAGAATTCAATGATTTGTACATTAGAATATGTTAAAATGTGTAGGACTTAATTTGTATATATTTGTATAATTTATTCTACGTATATATATGTATTATGTAAACATGTAGCTAGCAATTATTCTATATTTATGGAAATGTTATTATTTAATCGAGAAGAGGAGAATATTTTGTGATGTCATAACATTTTAAGAAATTAAAACATTTGAATCTTCATATATTTTTTTTACGCTTTTATATGATAACGACTAATAAAAAATTAAGTTTTAATTACAAATTTTTCTTCAGTATCTTCTATACGAAGTTTTTATAATATCTCCTCATTTTGATTAATAATATAATAAAATTTTATGGACGATGTACTTAACAAAATTTTTCGTAACAAGTGTTTCAACAAATTTTTGTTTTATATTATGTGCGAATTTCTTCGATATATCTCTCTTATAATAGGATTTTGATAGGGAATAACACTTTATTATATTTATACAGCATATTATTTTTTTCAAAATTAGCTATACATAAGAATACAGAAATTTGAAATTTTTTAATTTATTGCACATAAAATATCACCGAACTAAATAAACAGTAGAAAAAATTTGGTTTATATAAATCTTATTTCTTCTAGTTGATCAAATTTTGCTAATTATCATATGTATAAAAAAAGGATATTAATTGCATTATAGAATTCAGGCTAAAAAATTTTTCAGAATTTATGTGCTATTATGGGTACTCAATTTGTATATAATTGTAATTAGTACATATAAAATATTGTTTTGATAATTAAATATTATTATTTATCTTTATAAATATATATTATTTGATATTAGAATTTTATGTTCAAATTATATTATGTTATGTGATTGTCATACATTTGCAATTTTGGTAGTACAAAAAAACTGTTTATGTGACATTTGTGCAAGCAAAGAATAGAATTTATAATAAATGTATATTTAAATAACCACAAAAAATTATTCATTTTGAAGTCTGGTGAGATTGTGATTACAATTGTGCTGTAGAAAGTAAATTTCATTATTGTATAAACACAGAATATAATTATGCATTAATAATTTTAAGAGCTTATTCAATAACTTGAGCATTGTATTGAATATTGAACATAAAATTAATTATTTCATTTTTTATTTTTATTGTTACAATTATTACAAACTATTTTACTTTCAAAATTGCAATTTTAAAAATGCGTATACAGCTCTTACACTACAAAAAAAATGCTGAGTGAAGAACTATATAATATGTAAATGAAAACTATTAGATTTATGTTTTAGTAGAGTTCATTTACATGGTGGATAAATTACGAAATAATAAAAATACTTGACTGGAATGTTGTAAAACTTATGTGCCATTGCAAATTATTTCTTTTATTCAGACTGCACTAGTAGTCTAGCTATAGCATAAATTAGATCGCACAGTAATGCGTCTGAATATTTGGAAATATATGTTGATATTTGTCTTAACTATATTTAAGATAGCAAATAATACTATTAGAAATAGAAAGAGTTATGTTTACTAAGCTATGAATTGTTTATTAAAAGAATAACTACATTTAAGAAATAACTATATTTCATACGCATAATAACACATTGATTTTTTTTAGCACAAAGTTAAGTTGGACCAGTGTTATTAAATTTTATCAAATTTATTGCTTTTGCACTTGTAAATTCAAGAAAGCTAAAACTCTCTACAAATAAGTGAGGCAATAATTAAGAATTATTTAAAATTATTAAGAATTTTATTCAAATATACGTATATAAAGATAAAAGTTAATTATGTGTTAGACACATAATCAAATGAAAATTATATCAGAAATATTCTTAAAGATGAGTTGAATATAAAATACAATTAATAATTATTGCTTCTCTTTGCATATTATATGTGTATATATATATATATATATATATATATATATATATATATATATATATATATATATATATATATATATATATATATATATATATATATATATATATATATATATATATATATATATATATATATATATATATATATATATATATATATATATATATATATATATATATATATATATATATATATATATATATATATATATATATATATATATATATATATATATATATATATATATATATATATATATATATATATATATATATATATATATATATATATATATATATATATATATATATATATATATATATATATATATATATATATATATATATATATATATATATATATATATATATATATATATATATATATATATATATATATATATATATATATATATATATATATATATATATATATATATATATATATATATATATATATATATGATTTTAATTAATAAAAGTTTGCCATGTTGCAAATTTATTAAATGAAATTTTAAAAAATATGTTTCAAGATACAGTGCCTCTTTAGTTGCAAAAATATTTATAAATAAAAGTCCGAATGCTGTCCAATGATATGTTAAAGTCTACTTTGATGATGACTTAAATGTAAGTTTGACCATGACATATAATATATTGCACAAAATATATGACTGTCGTAATTTACATTCGATATGAAGTTTTATAATATGGAAATATTTTGAATTATGGATGCATGTGAGAGAGAGAAGAATATAATAAGTGTCTAAATTCAATGATAAAATTGAATGATGCATGAAAATAAATGTTGCAACTATGTAAGTAATATTAGTGTAATCATAATTTTAATGAATAGAAACAGTGGAAATATAAAACTTGCTTTGAAAAAATTCAGATTTATTTATTAGATATGTAATGGATTTATGAAAATATATAAAGTATTTCTTAGACAGTGATTGCATTAAATCATACTGCGCAAATAAAATAATTTGTTTATTAAATTAAATAAATTGTAAGACGATAATAAGTTTAAAGTTTACTTACTTACATGTTTTGGCTTATTTCGTATATAAATTGCTTCGACGGAATGATATAACTGAAGTCAGTTAAAACTAATTATATCACCAAAGTTGAAATTAAAACAGAGGATGAATAGCACGTTTCTTCTAGACAAGGACATTAGAAAAGTATACATTCTGAAAAGAAGAAAAAGATCCATTATAGATTTCTACTATTTCCAATATATAATTTAACTTTATCAATTTTAAGGATTTTCAAATATGTATTAATTCTGAACAATTTTTCCCTATACATATAACCGTTTCTCGGTTAGATTCCCAAGATATTTATAATAACATTAACAATAATAATACATACTTTTGGTACTTTTTATCTTAATGTGGGTTAGGTTTCGAATATCTTTATGTACGAACATGGTGATATAGGTATGTTCATGCCACAATACTGATATGTATTATTATGTGTACTCTTATTGTATATACTATTGATTGTGTTTGTAAAGCAACTTGATCACAGCCATATTGTAGCTTTAGTATGTAGCGTCACTATCGTTCGACTAGCGTACTTCACTCTCCTGTATTCTCCATCGCCCTTGCAGAATCTATATTTTGTCATTAATAGACACGACACGACGTACTGCGAGGGTAAAGGGGAGGATAGGAGAGTAAAGTACTTATACATAGATTTCTACCTAGAACTTCTATGTTAAAAGTACACACAGTAATGAAGTACGCCAGTCGAACGATAGTGGCGCTATGCACTAAAGCTACGATATGGTTGTGATTAAGATGCTTCGCGGGCGCGGGATCTCGTAGAATATAGAGTACAGAACAGGCTACAGTACTAAAGTTCAGAGTACAGAGTACGGACTACTGACAGTGCGAGGCTGACCTGTACGACACAAGGTTGCCTCACTCGATAGCTGTCTCACTTGAATTGACTCGCGCTGCCAAGTAGCAAAGTACGCGAGGCGGAGTATCGACGAAGTTGTTCAATACATGTTAAGGCAAAGCAAGTAAGGAATTGCGAGCACCTTTGATCTCGTCAAAAGACCGACAATCGCCCTATTTGCTCGTATCGAGACAGCCTCGCCTTGAGTGTACATATCATTATATATATCAGTGTCCGCTATGTCTAGATATTGTATACTGTATTGTATACGATATGATACGTACACAGTGTTATATCAGTGCATAACAAGAGAAGTTTGTTGAAATGCGGGCCATACAAACGATAACGTTACGCAGATACATGGTGGATAGAGCATGAGCCTGATAAACTCTATGAATTAAGAGAGGGAAAGAGAAAGTTGTCGGAAGTTCTCGTTTGTATGCGATACATAGCCTGCGTTATTTCAACGTTATATACTGAGAAAAGTCCACAATACTCCATCAGTTACGAGGTGGAGCATTTGGAGTTCAAGTTTGGAGTTCTTCCCCCTTCCTTCTTTTTTATCAAATGTCGATGGTATGTTCCATAAATGTACAACACGATCGTACGTTCAAGGCGGCATTTATTTAAATATGCATATTCCATATGTTGCACGATTCCATTATGTGCAAATAGACTTATGATAGACAAATATATGCAATGTAGAAAATAGACTTTGAATTAAATTAAACTATACGTATTTTTATTAATAACATGAAACTGAAACTATGAAAAATACTTATGATAGAAAAAATAATTTATAAGTCAATAATATTTCAATAAAATTGACTCAATTACGATTAATATTCTATTTAACAATTGCAATTTTTTTTTCATAGATTTAGAGATGTTTTGAATATCAAATAGAGATATGTAAATGGGTATAAGATGATATTTCCATGGTTGATCAGAGATGGTCTGCAAGTTGTAGACTTATTTGCAATATGAATTGTGTTAATATAACAATTAGAGTATACTTTGGTACAGTTATACTGCCAAGACCACAAAGCAGAAATATATCTGGTTTTATGGTTTAGAATATCGACCTATATCTGGTCCTAATAACCATAGTTTTTCAATGGAATTACAATTATCAACTACAGCTAAATGTAGCTGTTTAGGTCTAGGAAGAACTAAGAGTCCAGTACATCCTGAATATGCTAGTTATGATGCTAGACTACACACATTTGCAACATGGCCAAAATCTATACCACAAAGGAAGGAACAGTTAGCAGATGCAGGCTTTTACTATATTGGAAAAGGTGATCAAACTTTCTGTTACTACTGTGGAGTTGGTTTAAAAGATTGGGAACCAGAAAACGATCCTTGGGAGCAACACGCAAAGTGGTTTTCTAAATGCTGCTATTTATTAATGGTTCAAGGGCAAGATTATGTAAATAAAATAACAGGTCAGGATATATCTCCACTTTTTAAAGAAGTAAGCACATATTCTTATATTCTTAACTATATATATTTTATGTCATGTGTATAATTAATAATTCCATTGCACACTTATCTACATTATATTTATTTCAGGAAACAGTGCAAATTGAAGGTGCAGACTCTGTAATATCCAATGATAAAAGTAATACCGATAAAAAGGCTAACTTAAAGGAAATTAGTAAGTAATAAAAATACAAAGAAAGATTGATCATAAATTGAATTAATTGATTTGAATTAAATCCATATACATATAATAAATTTTATTATATATTTAATTTAACGAAATGTACTGTCTACTGTTGTAGTAACTTTGAAAGAAGAAAATAGAAAATTAAAAGAAGCTCGTTTATGTAAAATTTGCATGGATCGAGAAATAGCAATTGTATTTTTACCTTGCGGGCACTTAGCAACTTGTGCTTACTGTGCATCATCTCTTACATATTGCCTAATGTGTCGACAAGAAATTAAAGCCACTGTTCGTACATTTCTATCATAAATCGAATAATAAAATATTAATTGATGTACATATTGTTAAATTTTCTTATACAAATTTAACAATTTAAAATATAAAAATATATATGTATAAAATTATATTTTTTGTATATTTTATGAAAATGATGTACATATATTATTGTATTTGTAATTTAGTCTTATTAAATTAAGCCCACATAGTGAAAGAAACAAATTGTATAATAATAGTATACTGTTTACCAAACAGAAAACTGTGTTACGGCTATTAATGGTTACAGTAATAATAAACATATAATATTAAATATTACGATAGTAACATACCTAACGAAATAACGCACGAGCCATTTTTATCATAAATTTTTCTCGCAATTACAATCACGATCGTATACGTGCTGTTGTTTCCTTTTTACTCGTTTCTGTTTACTCCTTGCGCTCCTTTCTATTCGAATGCGTAGCGGCTCAATGACAGCTTCTGTCGCCGGCTGTAGAGTGACGTAGTGGTCGCTAGATACGCATGCGCGTTGAGGAATTTCGTGTTCTGCGCCATGCGGCTAATAAAGGAACTAAAATGTAACAGTTTACGCCATCTCCATATACGGTACGAATTGGTTTGATTCAGACTTGTTGGATGATCAGCTGTGTTTTGAAAACTTACGAAACATATTCAAGAAACAAAAATTGAATTTTACATCGAAAAGTACTGGTTAATTTTCAAACAAAATGACTACGGCCGCGAGACCCACGTTTGAACCTGCTAGAGGAGGACAAGGACGTGGTGAAAAAGATTTAAGTGCAATCTCAAAACAATACAGCAGCAGAGATTTACCGTCTCATACAAAATTGAAATACAGGTATTATATTGTACTTTATAATATTTTCAAAAAAATTTGTGTACTGTGATCTTTATTTAAGATATTTTGTGTAAGTTTTTTAATCAAGTGAACAAACAAACATAACCTTACTTATTTGCATTTGCCGAAATTAATGAATTTCATTTGTAGGGAACATGGACAAGGAACAATCGAGGAATTGCGAAACCGTGATTTTCGCAAGGAATTAGAGGACCGTGAACGTGAGAGGGAAAAGGATAAAAGTTCTAACCGCCGTATGATAGAACCACCTAGAGAAACGTCCACGACAAGTGCTGCTAAAAGGCAGAAAATTGATCAAGTACCTACAGCAAGTTTAGATGCAGATGATCCTCTTGACGACGATGATTCAGAGTCAGAAAGTGACGAAGATGATACTGCTGCTCTTTTAGCTGAATTGCAACGTATTAAGAAAGAGAGAGCAGCGGAGCAAGCTAAGAAGGCAAAGTTTTTATATTCATGTTTACATTTGATATGTAAATTCAATATTATGTTTCTTCTAAAGCTTTTACGTTATTTTATTTTCTTTATTTTCCAGGAAATGGAGAAAAGACAGGAAGAGGAAAGAATAAGAATGGAGAACATACTTTCTGGAAATCCTTTATTAAGTTATTCTTCTCAAAGTGGAAGAACAGATATGAAAGTCAGACGAAGATGGGATGACGATGTTGTATTCAAGAACTGTGCTCGTTCGGAACCGAAAAAGAAGCACGATGTGTTCATAAACGACTCGTTACGAAGTGAATTCCATCGTAAATTTATGGAAAAATACGTTAAGTGAACGAACTACCGTAAGAAGTATATCGTACTGTATATAGTTTTAAGATAATGTTATCATACTATTTATAAATGTCTCGTACTCCAGACTGCAATCGATGATGCTGATAGTTATTCCAAAATTTCGGAAATCTTACAAATTTAACATCCATAAACATTAATTTCATACACATGTGTTATTAAGTCATACACTTGATTTCATATATTCACATACATCTACGAATATTCGATTACGAAATTCATCGTATGAAAATATGAACAACTAAGGCAACCGTATCGTTCGAGTTTAAAAACAGAAGGTATCATATTAGGCTCTTTTATCATTTTCTTTCGATTCTGAGATCCAACTAAATTCGATGCTGGCGATTCATCTCTAGGAGGACACTCTAATAACTTCACAAAAAAATCATTGAATTCTTTGTATGCAAAAATAAGCGTACAGATATTCAGAGTGAGAGGGAGGGGGAGAGAGTGAAAGATAAAGAAAAAGAGAGAGAGAGAGCAGGGTGTGCCAGAGTGGGGTGAAGCGGATTGAGGTAGCGTGTATCGGTCCGACGGAGATCGTTGATCGTGCGAGAGAGAAAAAGATAGAAAAGAGAGAAAGCTGGAAGAATAGAGGGAGAGAAAGAGAAGAAACTAGCTGAGTGTGGTGGAGTTTGTCCAGGCAATGTAGGTACGTGTTTCGGTAGCGGTGCGATCCGGCCTCGGCGGTGGTGGTGCTGACGGCGGCAAGCGCGTGTAAACCGCTGGGTCAAGTATAACCGGTCCCAGGGTCCCCGGAGCAGCCGGAGGCAGCAGGCAGTCTACCGGTACGACGCGCAGCTGGTTATCGCTGGTAGACTCCCTGGCACCGACCTGGCCAACTAACGCAACAGGGACACACGAGAGGCCGGCCCGACTCGACAGAGAGACAGAGAGAGAAAGACGACCGTTCACTGGTAGATCGCTTCGAGATGATTTCTGAGAAAAGATATGTCGTACGTTACGGTACGAGCGATCGCTTCTCTGTGTGCTTGAATTCGTCATCGCCGATTCTATCCTTTTTGACTTCTTCTCGAACTTTCAGATTGGTTACGGGAACCTAGTTTCCGGTCTTGTTCAAATACCATTGTTCAGATCTATTCCTGATCAACTGCGATCCTTGTAGCGTTCCGTCTCTCGTCGTGTTAATGGGCCGTAATTTCGGCCAGGAGAGTTTTTCTCGGTAGATGCCTATCGTTTGTATGCAACAGCGTAAGAATGAATCTAAACGGAGTATTTTGTTTATTTTATGATAAATATATTATATGGATGTTGTATCGGATGCCATCCTTTTGGACTCTCTTCCAAAAAGTCGAAATTACCGTATGATAATCAATTTTATAACTCGATCAAAATTAATAAAACGAATAACCGAGTAAAATTATAATAATTATTATCATTCGCTTCACCTATTAAACCTACTTATATCACGTAATAATAGTAATATTGAATTAAAGCTGACGAGTGAAATTGTCTTTCGCATTTTACGCGTTCGTCCATCGATTAAAGAAGTTTCAAATTTACAACTTTGTCTCGTACAAATCTTGTACAATTACAAGTGTACAATCTATCGTTAGTTTTGCCGGACGTAAATATCACTTTTCTAAAAATGCGACGAAAGAAGAGTGAAGTGCGCTTAAGAAAACGCAATTGTAAATAAAGGAACACGCGGTCGTACACGGCGCGCGTTAAAAATGCACAGTCGTCGAGTTTTCTTCAAGAGGATAATCTCCGAGGGAGGGATTTCCCCGGTGAACGCACCTCTGGATTCTGCAGCGGCCGATGCTCGACGGGAATTCGCCCTGAGGGCACTCTCCCTTCCTCTCTTCTTTCCTCTCCTTCTTTCCCTTTAACTCTCTTTTTCTCCTTACCTCCCTCCCTCTTTCCTCGCACACACTCTGCTCTCTCTCTCTCTCTTTCTCTCCTTGTCTCTGTCTCTCTCTCTCTCTCTCTCTTTCTCTGTCTCTCTTCTCTGCTGCCACATTTTTTATTTACCTCCTATATTCCTCTATTTACTTTATTTATTCCGTTGCTGTTGGTCAGTGGAGAAAGAGAACGTACTGGACGAGAGAGGAAGAGAGAAGTAGAGTGAACTGCAGCATCTCTTGCTTTTCTCCAAGAGTTTCATCCACGGACGTGCAGAATGACGATCCAGGGCTGTAAGCTACCAACGTTTTATTGGGTGAGCCGGTATGCATCGATAATGGTATCTCCTTCCCTCACCTTTGCAGATACTTTCAGGATTATCTCTGTGGAATTGAGATCCGAACATTGCGGAATAAACGGACGGTATGCGTGGTGTCCGACACCTGTAAGAAGCACGTTGGTATGTGCTTAATGTTTGTCGCACGCAATCGGCCAGGTTGTTTGCGCGAACGTGTAAAACTTTGCTGTCGTAGCTATAAAAATGAAGCTGTTAAACCGCCGTATTACGTGTACTCTTGTTGCTGATTCTTCATTTTGGGAAATTTTCTCGTCGAGCAAACATTTCTATCGTACTCGTTATACCTTTTTGGTAAATAATTCAACGTAACGAAGCAACGAAATTCGTTGTAGTATTGCAGCGACGTGGCGATCGGAAATCACACACATACTAATACATGTTGGGTTTTTCTTTAAGTACAATTTCAAGTAAAGATAGAACGATCACATATGTGTATCTATTATGCAGATTATTTTTTTCAGTCGTTGTAAAATATGATATCTATCTTATTTAATATTCATAAATATACCATAAGCGAATACAAGCGAGAAACAATTATATTTCCAGCCCTAATAAATTCGTCTTTGGAGCTAATTAATTTCGATCGTCTCCTCGTGAGATGCTTATTATCCAGTGTTTATAGAATACCAGAGAAGTAATAATTTATAAGAGTAGATAATAGAAATACGTATTAATAAATTGTTTGAACTTCGTACGTTTATAAAATTGTTTCTTTGACACGACGGATCAATACCGTTGCATCGAAACGATGTATTTTGTCAAAAGTTTCGCAAGAGCCGAACGAATTCCAATTATTATTCGTTTATGAAGTTATCTCAATTAATGGATATAATTCATTCGCGAGAGATCCACGAAACGAACGTTAGCGCGTTAACGATTTGGTCGACGATTTCAGAACAAAATCGCAGTTACTGTTGGACGTTTCAACAAAAATCACAGTTACACTTTCTCGTTAGAGCAGCGCCGTAAGGCCGTGTCTGGATAGAAAGGAACGGGTGGTTTCGAAGTAAACAAATAAAATCTCTTGATACCAAGTTTAAAAATACTCGCTAAATTTCTATTTGCTCGCGCATTATTCACTGGCGAGAAAATCTATTTAGATAGGTGTAACACGAAAATGTTAGATGGTATAGGTAAATATATACATACACACATCTGTATGTACGTATCTTCTAGAAGCCGAAACACACAGTCAAAATCGGACCTTCCCTTTTTCCTCTTTCTTTTTTAATTTCGTTTTGTCAGACTGCAAGTGTCTACCGACCGAAGAAATTGTGTCGAGTAAACAAATATCTCTTACAACAAACTGGATATTGTAAGCCTTGCGCTGGCTTTATTGGCAGATTAATGATACTACCGTCTCCGATTCGCTTTCACCGTCGTCCGCCCACCCCGACCCCTTCTACGTTTATGGCCGGTTGCGCATAAATATGACACGCGACTTATTTTTTCTTCTGTGCCTCTATTAAAAATTCTCTATGAGAACACGATACTCGCGATCGCTGATTTTTTCGATCGTTTAAATTCACTCGAGGGGACAGGTATACTTAGATGGTTCGTAAGGTGGAATTCTTTCCAGTTGTTCGTCTTCCTATGCCGAGGAGCGCAAATGTTTTCTTGTTGACTTTATGGGCTGTAACTTTTGCAAAAATGTTTGTAGCGCTTTAGTGGTTATATAGTTACGAGCTACTTAGAACGTTTTGCATGATGATTTATGATAGCCGTATAATTCGATGTAACGTAGGTACAGTTTCTTCTAATAAACAAGAAATTGAATAGAAATATGTACGTAATAGATTTCATGTTGTAGGTAATTTATGACGGAGAACGAATTGTTTAGCCGGACACGTAAAAAATTTATACTAAGAGCTAATCATCGCCTGTTCTCGTATTACGAGTCGTACTTTGATACGTTCTAAAAATCGGCAATTTTTCTTTCAAACACGTATGTAAATAATCGTCAATCGATAAAGCAGATATCAAATAAACGATATTTTTCGAAAATCCTCTGTATGATCTATCCTATTGTGCAATTTCAGTTTAATAAAAAAATGATGTTTTTCAAAAAGTCCACCATATACTACCTTCGCGTATTTTCCCGTTAACTATCTTTCTTATCTTCGCGTATCATTCGTCCGTGATCCTCGCCAATTTTCTGTACGACGAAATCTTCGATCAAAATCGTCACATGTAACAGGAGATCTGACGGCGGAATACGAGGCGCAAATACGTACGTTCATTGTCAGCGTGGTGAAATTAAGGAATCGCCGTATATCAAATATTTCTCTCACGCTATCTAAATCGAGGTACCGAGTAAGACGAGGCGTTTCCAAAAATAAATATCTCCAAAGGTTGAATGCCATCGAGGCGCGCATCTTCGAAAGGAATTTCTCGTACGGCCAACTTTCGTGTCAACCGCTGCATACCGTACCGCTGTGTTACCTGTAACAGCCTGTAAACAGATTCTTCGCCGTAGTTGTGCATTAACCGAGGCAACCTCTATTTGTCGTGCAACCTGTTACATCCGTAGGCTTTCAAGCGAATTTTTCACGCACGCGTTCTTCCATTACCCGGGCCGGAAACGAAGGACAGTTTTCACCGGTGGAAAGTATCGGCAGCGGTTACGGTGCAGCGCGGTTATCGGGCGGAAATTGTGGCGCAACTGGTCTGGATGGCGAGCTGATAAAGATCCAGGGGGTTGAAAAAGTGGAAGAATGTTGAGGTTCGGTCGGCCGCCATCGCATGCCGTTTCTTCGCTAACCCTGATCTCCGGCACCACGTTAGAGTGCCGAGTAATACCAACGATCAGGGCTGGTGAACGCCGCCTACTTCTTCGGCAGGGGCGGTCCTATCTCTATGACCCAGGGACGTGCAAATGTCTTCGAAAATTCAGTGGATCGGCCCGGAAGAAAAGTTTCCTTGCGAAAACCTATACGAATTGCGAATCGTTCGTTTCGTTTCTTTCTATCTTTTCGTGTTATCGATCGGTTATTGTACACATATTTAATTTGTAAAATGTCTGCCTTTCGTTTAGTTCTCGTTTTGTATTGTTTCTTTTTTCTCTCCTTTCGTTTCTTTTTCTTTTTCTTTTTTTTCGTGTAGATATACGAGTGGAAAGTTATCTTTGGCAGTTTCACGATTATGTATGTGGTGATCGTAAAAGCGAACGAGGAAAAGTGGATATAATTCGACGCGTTGCTGTACTCTTTCCCTATTACATATGAATCTGTTCGAACAGTTCGAACGAGGAATCTTATTTTCTTCTTTTTTTTAACGGCGATCGTTACACTTCCGAAAGTTGCGCGTCCATCTGAGAAGAAGCGAAGAAATTCATTTCGCCCGGTGAAAGCAACGAATTCGTTCTTTTTGGAGCGTTAAACGACATCGATGTGTCGTTAAACGAGATGCGTTCCGTTTTACGCAATCGTTTAAACAAAACGCGTTTCATTTTATAATCGTCGTTTCGGTTACTCGTTCGTCTATCGAACAAAAAAAAAAAAAAAAAAAAAAAAAAGGAACTGGTTTTTGGATTACAGGAATTGACACGACCAATTTATCGCTAAAAATTTATATTATATATATATATTACTATTTCAAAGAAGAATATTCTTCTTCCGAAAGTTTTATTACGTTTTTTTATCGAAGTACAAGAAAGCAAATGGAAAGACGTCGCTAAGGAATAGCGCGTAACGACGGAATAAAAAGTAAAGAAGGAAAAGATCAGTTAAAGATGTCGTATAAATATATTCAAATTAAAACAGTAGATAGCACGACTATTACCAGAGATGATCCGTAAATTAAAGTCCAATTTTTCGGAGTTACCTAAATCTCTTCCTTCGTTATAATCAACGTCCAAGCCACGTTCCATTGCCGTGTTTTCCCTTGCATTTGATATTTTTAACAATCGAGCCACGCACAAAAAGGTCGCGAGCGATCCCCAGTGAAAGTAAATCAAATTTACAATCGTCGCATGCTCGCAGAGTTGTGTCGAAGCGACTGGTTGCAGAAATTTTGCGCGTCGTGGACGTACGTACTTAAGTACGTACATACTTAGATTAAATGCTGAGTGTTAGCTGCCGTTCTCCGTGTTCAAACAACATCAGCCTTCCATTACGTAATAGTTACATTGTAACACGCGTCCGCGAACCTCTTCGGAACCTTGCAAACATCTGGTATTACATGCAACATTCCATGAATGCCGCGTTAGGCGTGCGACAAGCGTTGTACGCAACACCATAATACACTCGCGTGTATACGCTTGGCGAACAATCTAATCGTGAACAGAACATTTTCACGTTACCATCGGCTATCCTTCATTTTCGCGGCTCTCTTTATCACTAGCATCTCCGTCACGGCGATACGTTCTCTCTTGGATATGGAACGTTATCGCGAGACGACATGCGGTTTACAGAACGATCGAATGCTTCGATACTTTCCCCTTTTCTTATTTAACGTGTTACACGCACACGCGTCTGATCAAACCTCGTCCTGTTACTTAATAGTCGTCGAGTGGACCTCGATACCAGGACGATCGTTGCGTACGGTGACACTTTGCCAGTTAGTCGTACAAGGTCCGGCGTTCGTCAGCATTTCGCTACATTTTTTCATTTTTCGCTTCGTTCGAAACTCGTTTTCGTTTTCACGACTTTTACCGCGATATCTCGTTCGTAAACTCGGTTAAGCGCGGATCGCGCCGTTTCTGGTCCGACGATCCTACGATACAAAAGGAAAATCAGAGAACAGAAACGCGGAGAAACCTGGTGGGACGTTTTGGCGCGATTTCCTGACGATATCGACGAATTAACGGTCGTGACAGTCCGTAGATTTATAGATTCTTGTTGCATACCCAGCTTCTACGAGAGTTTATAATTTCACGTTTAATAAAACGATCGACTAGAGCTTGTAAAACTCGCAAGATTCACTTACAGAACTTCGTTTGTCCCGCTACCAAACGTGTTACCGTTTAAGAAAGAGAAATTACACCTACATACAAGCTACGCTAACTAGAAATCGTCAGCGTGGGTAACTTGAAACTTATTGGCAAGATAGCGCGATCGATATTGGTCGAATGGTACAAGAGGGTTGAGAAAAGAGACGAAACGAAACGCGGAGAAGATCGAAACGAGCGAAGAAACCAACTGGACGGCGGAAAAAGAGGAAAGGATCAGTATGTACGCGTGGCTACCGGCGCGGCGTGGCAAGGCAAAAGCAGTGCGAGGTGAGTCGAAGCGAGGCGAGGCGAGTTGTGGCGAGTGGCGG